TTCAAATGCTAAACATTTTAGACACGTACGCAAAACCAAATAGCTATGCTTTGAATTGCAATTACGTTACATAGTGCCAATTGTAGCCAAGCTAAGCTTCAGTGCATACRAACAAATGAATTTTGCCGAATTCCAAATAGGTAAGGCCCAAAAGTTCAAATATTTGTGCCGATGCTTGGCCAAAAACAAAAATGAGCTAAGCTTTGTCGAAAAACCATTGCAAAAAACAATAAAATTTCCGATTTCCGCACATTTGTCAAACTTTTTTTGATCGCTTAATTGTATTTGTTAGCTCGTACATCAATATGTGTTCTTTCTCAGCAATCTTCTGGTTTATTAGCGCTGAAATTGTTGCCGATTTTTTACGATTTTAATCATCTTTCAATGCATTTGAGAAATCTTTTTATAGAAACTGGCAGTAATAATATTCCGAGCAACTAAACTCYTAATGGACTAACACTACATAGGTTGCCTTTTATATTTCGGGCTTTGGCAATGATAGTGTTGCAATCTGGTGATTTCCAACTTTATTGTAAAGTTTGACATTTCTTATGGTACTCATACTAAGAACGTTTTGACATACGTGTGCTATTTGTGTTGTATACAGTGACTTAAAAAATTCGTCGCAGCCAAAAACTGGTTTTAACTGCTGAGCATTTTCTATCGAAAGAAATGTTACAGCTGTTCGAAAATTAGTGAWAATAATGAAGAAATACGCAAAKGGTAACAAAAAACGAAAAGAATGGTCCAAGTGTGATGAAGCTCAACAAATTGTCGCAAAGCAAGAATTGACGCATCGAAAGTTTATGATGAGTGTTTCACGGGATCCACTATGAGCTGCTCTTGGCTGGTCGAACGGTTGATTCTACATTTTACTGTCAACAACTGATGAGATTGAAGCAAGCAATCGAAACAAAGGCCAGAACTGATAAACAGAATGGGCATCGTCTTCCATCAGGACAACGCTAGACCACACACATCTTTGATGACMCGGCAAAAGCTGTTAGAGCTGGGCTGAGCAGTTTTGATGCAYCCACCATATAGCTCTGACCTTGCACCATCAGACTGACATTKGGTCAATGCTGAACTCCCTTAATGGAGTGAAGTTGGCTTCAAAAGCAGCCTGTGAAAATTACTTGTTGCAGTKTTTCCCGAGAAACCAGAAAAGTTTTACACTGATGGCATAATGTCTCTAGCGAAAAAATGGCGAAAAGTGGTTGACCAAAATAGTACATATTTGCTTAATTAAAGCCCATTATAACAAAAAAAAAATCAGTTGAAGTTTGATTAGAAATACGAAAATAATTTTTCGACTACCCAAAAACTTTTTTTCTCTAATCCCGAAATATAAAAGTCAACCCTCGTATTAGCATTTTTTCTCACATGAGTTTTTTTCGCTTAGCGATCTCTACTTGGTTATTAATTCYCATTAGATTAATGACTTTTCACGCAAAAGAAAATAATTTACAAAGAAAAAAGTTGTAAGCCACWAWTCAYGYTGCCATGCGTCCATAGCCTGGTTCTACTGTAAGACTGGCGGTCATTTACTTTTGCATTGAAAAAGAAAAATGAACAAAGAATTACGTTCCCACTTCCACAAACTTTTTGCAGAACCTTCGAGTGGTTAATTGATTGCGCGCAACTAATTGATTGGRGGAAACTTACGTTCCTTAAACTTGGTTGAGCAATTTGAAACTTTTTTGTAATTTCTTGCTTAATAATGACATGCCAATGCGATTACAGTAATTATTACTGAGTAGAAACTATGCTTGCAGCAGTTGCCCAATTCTTAATTCAATTAATGATAAATGACGCGCTTAAATAACTGTCAATATTATATGTATTTTTGTTACAAAGTTTCTTGTAAATTTTAAACGCTTACAAACATGAGCGTTGTATCTATTAAAGACCTTAGCGCTTTGCCTACCTCAAGCATAAAGCGCCGGCGCATAATCGCTCGCGCGCCCAAATCCAACCAGTTTTTTGTGTTTGTGCGGCTGCGACTGCGCTTGCCGCTTGACCGCATGCCTTTGACAGTTGACCACAGTTGACCAAAGCGACATTGACGCATTGTCGCTGTTGTTGTGCCATTTACACATTTGTAATCTTTTTTTTTTGTAATTTTTTTTTTTGTTGTCATACAATCAAGTCGCTTGCATAGCTTTTCGTGAATTTTACTTAAGCCTTGACAGCTTCACACTTGTGGACTTTAATCAAAGTAGTTCGGCTTGTTTGAAGCTCGATTTAAGACACACATTCAAAACATTCGAGGCTTCTATTTAACAGCGCTTAGTTGAAATTAAGACAATAGGAAATCGCAATGTGAAATATTCCTGGCATTTTTTCAAAGAACACAAAACGCAGCAGTTTCATTTAAATTCTTTGCCAAGAACTTTTAGCAATCAAATTTTTATGGCCACAAGTACGCGCAACAAAACYTCAATTTTGCTAGCAGAAATAACARTTTTGCAAATGCCGCACTTTTAATTTGCTTAATTTATTGCAACGCCTGCGCGTTTTTTCAGCTGCGCACCTGTCCAGCTCACTGGCTCACTGTCTACAAGAACAAAAAAAAGCATTCCAAATCTGTTACATCATCCCACGACGCGACTTGTCATTTCTCAAAGCTCGCCTCGTTCGTACATGCGGTCTGACGAGTCGGCTGGTTGGGTCACTTTTGGTGTGGCATACACCATTTTCAGCGCGAAACTATTCAATGACTTTGGAATATTGCCATTCGCTAATATCAATATTTATAATTTTTTATGTGCGCATTTGCATAAGCGAGCGGCTAGTATTTTTTACTATTTTTTGCGCATTTAGTTTTGCGCTTTTTATACGTTTTCGTTGGTGTTGACAACCACATTCGCTTCAATTTAAATAAGGCGCAAAAAATTAACGCGTTTGTTGCTAATATATAAATAAGTTGAAGTTTGATTAGAAATACGAAAAGACTTTCTCGACTACCCAATAGAATATATGGAATTCTTAATATTTTTTGTACTCACTAGTAAATTTTGATATTTTGAAAACAACCATAATTTTGTCTTAATGACTGTCCAAAATAAACACTCCCATAAGCTAACATTACTGTTAACAGCGCTGTAGCTATTAAATCTATTCTTAATATAATCACTACCCACGGAATTGATTTTGAGGGTCACAATGCTAAATTTAACTAATTTTTTTCCCGTAAATTAAACAACTTTCATCAACTTTAACGCTACTAAAACGCTTACCTCCATCGCTTCATAAATCTTCTAACTGCCTACGCCCATTGAAAAGTTAACTTCCAGTGGTTAAATGTGTATTATCGGAAGTGCAAGCCCACCACGCCAGAAAACAAGATAAAAGTAAGCCTGATCTGCACCGAAGCTATAACACCCTTCACAGGTTTATTTCTTAACGCATAAAAACCTCAAATGATATTAATTTCGTGAAAATATCTTTTCTTGTTGTTGTGACTGCAGACAGCGTGTCTGGCCAGTGCTTCGGTGACTTTCCCGCCGTGATGTGATGTGATATAACAATCATAATGTAATCTCGCGGGAAGCTGCCTGTTCACTGGCTCTATAAAAGAAAAGCAGGCAGCGTGTCTGGCCAGTGCTTCGGTGACTTTCCCGCCGTAGTGTGATGTGATTTAACAGTCATAATGTAATCTTGCGGCAAGCTGGCTATTAGCTGGCTCTATAAAMGAAAAGCASGCTTGGTGCGTGGCCAGTGGTTAGGTGACTTTCACGCCGTGAAGTCATAAGGTGAGCTGGCGGGAAGCTGGCTGCCAGCTGGATCAATTATAAGTAAAGCGTTTCCGTCTGGATATTACAAACTTCGTGACAAACTTAAAATGGTTGGACTTGTCAAAAGCTATTATAATCATCACAACATATATGCGGGTCAAAAACGCGCACATAAAAGCGCATAAACAGAATAGTGAGCGCAAAGTCGAATAAGTAAATCATGCATGCMTTAAGGCATTCCACAGCGTCAGCACCGGACAGTGGTCAGGTGTAAAATACACATGCATGTATGCATTCAATGCACACTCGCTCAAATAATTTCAACACCGAATTAAAGATGCTGATTTATTGTCTCGACTGTCTGCTACTACAGCAGTTCCACAGCTCATTCAAGTCTTGTAAGCTGAGGATTATCCGTTGCTTTGTCATGATAACATTATTCAACTGTATGTGTGATAAAGTTGCAATTTTTATTAGAGAAAGAGACTGAAAGCAAAGCGTTCATTGTGACATAACCTTACTTTTCAGCGGTTCAATGTTTCAGTGTGAATTGTCACGCGGAGAGAGGAAAGTTGTATGGGAATGGGCCCTCAGGATCTTGTATAAATTGACAGGGAAGTACTACACATGAGTGTCAATGAACCGTTTCTCTTTTATGCGAGAATTTTTCCAATTCTCCAATTTTTCCGGTACTGTTATATATTACTTTTTTTTAGCTCAAGTCGATCGAATGCAGTTTAACTAATGGTTATTTAATTACCGAACTTTTGTTGATAAAAATAGATTTTTCACAAGCTTATTAGCAGTGAACTAGCTCTATTTCCAAATAGACTTCGATTAGAGTTAATTTGATTAAAATTACTATAAAAACAAGGGTACAAGCTTAAATCCATTAAAAATGCATTAACTAACTTATATTTGTAATTCTGAATATGTGTTGTTGTGTACCATGATAGTTAATATTGTAAATTGAGCTGAGATTTACATGTTGAAAATTTCGCTTTCCTAACTTTGAGTTCATTCAGTCAAACCTCCCCAATCAAGCACCGAAATCATGATTAACGTTAACCGGATATTTTTTTGGATTTTAATATTGCATGGGTTTCTTGAGAAAAATGTAAATATATTTATGTACGTAAACATCAAACTCAATAAGTAGAATCCCGTTCTTCAGGCATAATTTTCGTGACCCAGTATTGTGTTTCATCTAGCTTAAGTTAATAATTTCACAGTTATATACTCATACACTTTCTTTTGTTGTAGCATGGAGCTTTTTTCAAAATGTCSAAAATGGAGTGCAGGGACTTGAATAAGGCGTACTTGCGCGAGAAGGTTTGTCGCTTGAAAGCAGTTAAACGCGATGTTGTTGAGGCCAGCGTTCGCTTTCAAATTCTAAAAACTGTGTACAATTGCAATGTATATGATCAATTTATTTTCTTCAAATGAACATTGATTACATTTTTCATCTATAAAGGTGCACATCGAACTTCTGCGTAAGTACAATACCTACCAGCCATTTTTCATCAATCGCACCTTTGATGTCTGCGAATTTCTGCGTAATCGTAAAAATGCTGTGTACTTAGACATACTCTTCAAATTGATCGAGAAGTATACGAATGTGAATCACTCGTGTCCGTATGAGGTGGTATTTGAAGGGTTCTCATCATGTGTTTTTAAGTTTCTAGTTGCTCTTCTCGTTGCAGGGAGAATTCATCATCGAACGTTTCAGGCCGTCACATAATAATTTGATTTTACCCATGCCCAGCGGTGACTACCTCATTAAGTTTGGGTTATATACCTCGAATGTTTTGATGGCCCATTTATATGTWTGGTTTGGCTTCAAAGAATTGGAAAGATGGGAAGTTGGCACAGAAGGTGTTTCCCCCAAAAGTTTGAAAACAAATGTCCATGCTTAATTGCTTYGAGAAATCAAAATATGAAAAATTAATTGATGTGAAAATTGGTGTATTTAATAAATAATTCCTTATATGAGCATGATTAGGCAACAAAGTTCTCGCGTTTTTATACTCTCGCAACAAAGTTGCTAAAGAGAGTATTAT